TCTTACAGGATTACAGTACAATTTGCGCTTGATTTAATACTCGTATGTATCGGAATTTCAAAAAAAAATTATTAATTACAATATTCTGGTCTGAAATCGAATAATTGAATGATGAAAACGGCTGACAATAACGTTAAATACCAAAGTTCAAATATTTTATTATAAGAAATTTTCGATTTTTTTTTTGTTTGGGAAGGCACTGAGAATGAGAAAGCAAATCAAATTTTTTGAAACGCAAACAAAATACATTTTCTCTCTATTTTTTATTGTTTATAAATAATACGTACATATTTTGCATATAGGTACACTCACAACACACAATATCATGGACACGTTTATTTATAAATTAACATTTTGTATAACATTATTTTTTATTACTTAATGCTAAAATTTTTTAGTTGTGTTTTTTTTTTTATTTAAATTTTTACTACTTACATGGTGTATAGTAGTATGTAGAAATGTTATTTTGAGTGTTAAACATTTTTTGATTGAGTTTCATAATTCGATTCGTAATAATTATATTGTATTGGTTTGCGTGTTAAACCTATTACGTATTTTTATGAAACATGTTTTTGGACTACGTATACTCACTAATGACAAATAAACAAGAACATTAGATGCACATGCGTTCCGAGTTTTAAATAATTAAAAACTGGTTTTTAAAGAGTAAAAACGAGGAGCTTGTGTAGCGTGCTTTTGATATTTCTTTTTTCCATTAGTAAATTCGTTACTCATCAAATTGTTTTCTAAATACATAACTCTGATTCTATTTTTGTGAATTTTTTTTTGGTAATCTTTTTTAATAACTTATATACTATATTGGTTTATATAAATATTTTTTTTAGGTATATAATAAAAATTACTGGTTTTTTTTTCTATTTTATGTGAAATTTTATAAAATATGTAAATAACTTAATAACAATTTTATTCAGATCGTAAATTTTTTTTTTGAATTGTTTATTGAATTTTACGGATTTGTTTTTTAAATTTTGTACTAAATATAACTAGGTGTTTGTTTTTTTTTTAAATAATTTTAATTAAAATTTTTATAATTCATCTTAAAAATTAATCAATTTTAATTGATTTTTTTTTTATTAACTATAATAAAATTTTTTAAGTATTTCAAGAAACAAAACATCTTAACAAAATTTAAATTAAAAATATAATAAAGAGGGAGTTCATAATAAATTTTAGTTCCTTATAATTAGACTAGAATCATTAAAACCGGGCCAGGCTTTCGATTTTAAAATTTTAATTGTACTCCAATTAAATATTCATATCCTAATTAATCCTAACTAAGGAAAAATTAAAGAAAACAAATTAGTATTTTCAATAATGTTAACATTTTGCATTTGCTTTTATAACTATATGCACACTTAATTATAGTTACTACCTTTATGCATAATATGAAATGCCATTCAGTGAAATTGATCATAAATTATACCGCCGGCAGCGTAAGTGTTTTTATACCTTTAGCATATGTACCCGAATTAATGTCAACAGGGATATAGATTATATTAAATAACTTCCGTTAAAAACCAGTTAAAACTAAGGGTTTTCGAATATTTTCGAATATTATATTGGTAATTGTTCATAATGTAATGCATAACTGAAATTTTTCGGAACCAAACATAATGTAACAATGGCATTTTCTTTTGTACCTATATAAGAACATATTATCGTAAAAATATATATAAATCAATTGAATAATTATTTGAAATAAAATTAAAAATTTTTGGATAATTTTGGATAATTGAAATAAAAATTAATAAGTAATAAGTAATTATTAAGTAATCAAATAAAAACTAAAAATTTATTGCAAAATTATTTATATTTAAAAAATTTTCAACACGGTAACCCTTTTTCAGTTATATTACACATTCAAATAACCCACTCTCAGTTCTTTGTAAATAACACTTAAGTCATTCTTAAAAAAATTTATTCTAATCAATAACATGTTATATATTATGTAATTATGATGCTCATATATGCATCGAATTTCCTGAAATGCAATAAAGAACAATATGAAATATTATGGGAAAAACCAAAAATCAGATATATGTACTTCAAAGTTTTGACTATTTTAAATGCGTCTGTTAAAACATTGTATTTTTCTGATGAGTGACAAATGTCTTAATTCTTATGAAATTAATTATTATAAAAATTATTAATTTATTTCAACACGTGCGCGTAATTAACTTTAAATGAAAATCTCAAATTTTATAAATTAAATTATTAATAATTTTTATATTATTAAATGTTTGTTTTCAAAATAATATCACAATAATTGGATGGTCACAACATTATGATTAAATTAACAGTAATGTTATTATAGAAAAATGATAACAATGTCAGCTTAAATGAATTTTGTATTGTTGATTACCGTGTCCTATAAAATATTTCCATTTCATATTGTCACATTGTGACAATATGAGATGGAAATATCTGTATATATATGGGTAAATGTAAATATGTACACCTAAATCTAAATGAATAATATTTTGTTGAATAAATTTAATTCAACTATGTAGAAAATCAATTCAATATTAATTAATATTGTTGATTTTAACAATTATTTGAAATTTTTTTATAATTAATTTTCTAATTAATTTATATACATATAAACAAAATTATTAATTATGTCATAAATTACTAATATTAATTGTGTTGAATTGTAAATTATTGTAAGCATATTTAAGTTCGTCAATGTTATAATCCTCGGTATATCGTAAAAAAGTATCTGTGTTTGTATGTATATCATGAACTCATGTTTTACGTATTATGACATATAATGTAAATAGTGAGGAGCAATTACCAGTTAAATACTTAAAAATTACTTAATCATAATTTGGAAAAATTCAAATCTATTTTGAAGAGAAATTTATTTAGAAATTTTTTTTTAAAAAATGTAGTTTACGTTATGAAAGCGAGCTCATTGGTACGCCGAATTAAGACTATGTACTTTGAAAAATGTTCTCACTTCTCTCATGAAGTTTTGTCGTCTCATCTGAAAGTTCTCAAGTTCTCAAGTTATCGTAATTGCAACATTGTTAATTATTGGAACAGGACTTCTTTAATTAAAATTTAATTCTTTTTGTATTTCAATTTAATCGAATAGCAAAATAAAATAACGGAATGTCATATTGAGTTGAAACAAATAATTCTCACAATTTTGTTGTCTTTTAATGTCATCTTGTTTTACTCGTATAAAATTTCAAAAAAAAAAATTTGAAACTTTAAAAAAATTTCCAAGAAATTTTTATGGGTACTGTTTATTGAGCAGTTATAGCGGTACATTTTTAGTTTATTGCTTATCACATAAAATTTTTTTTTTGCTTATATTTGTTATTTCAATTTTATTTGTGAAATTTAGTTTTTTTTGGTTGCAAAGAAAAAAAATAAAAACAAAATTGAAAAAGATGACGTTTCATTACTGTGATCCATTTTTTTTGGTGACTGTTTTTGTTTTTAATAAATTTACATAAAGTGATTCGAATTCGAAATCAAAATTATTCATCAACAAGTTAATTAAAATAATTAATGAGAAATGTATTCAACTATTAAACTTGTCTCTTGGCTTCTATATATTTTTGTCAAATTTCACACTTAATGTTACTTTCGAATCAATTTTATCTGAACTTTTTTTATATTGAAATTTCCTGTGGTAAATTTGGTATAATTTTGCATTGCTTCGTTCAAATGACACTTGACTTGCAAAATCTGTTGAAGATAAATGAAGTGATGTAATTTGAAGAGAAGAGAAGTAAATTAAAGTGTTTCGATTTTCGAGTATCGAAAATCGCTTTAAATGAGATATCCCTTTCCGTTTATTATATTTTATTTCCATGTTTTTTTGTGTTTAAAAAAGGACAGCGGCGCCTCTACATAAATAAATAAATATTAAAATCAATTGATTAATTCAACAATATAATTTTAATTGCTGAACAAATCAAATTGACGTCAGATGCTACATAGTACATTTTTAATATTGTCAAAATTCGAAATAAAGGTCCATTAAGCATTATTTTGTTTTGTTTTATTAAATTTTTTAAAATTACTTAACATTTAACTAAATTCTTTCTTAATAAAATTGATTTTATTTTATTTTATATAAATTTATATAAAATTGGATTTTAATTTTTTTAGGTTGTCGCAAGGAGTTTTCAAAACCTATATCATTGAAGTCTCAAACCACATTTTATGGAATTTAAAAAAGATTATGGATATTGAAAAAAAATAATTAAAAATATTATAATTTACAACTTCCTTATTACCAACTCATAAGGAACTAATCAAAAATATTATCACTAACCAACATAATTTGAATCACATACATTGATTATAAAAATATTATTTGCAATTATTTTTATTGCATTTAAAATTAGAATATATTTTACATTAGTAATAAAACTTGTCAAAAAATTTCAAATTCTCTAAAATTAATTCAACACACATAGTCATATTTGCAATTAAAAAATCTCGTTAAAAAATAATAGTGTAAATTCATTGTAAATATTGCTGCCTTAATTACAATAACTCCTATGTGCAAATTTTCACAAAATGAAAATTTATTAGAAAAAACTAAATTCACATGTCTTTCTAATTTTATTTAAAAAATGTAAAATGTGTTATTTAAATATTTCTAATTTTATTAAAAATTTCTAATATTCAATCAGATAAACAATTTTTTCTTAATTTTGAAATATCGCAAATTTTTAATTAATCAACTATTGCCATTAAGACAGCAATATGTATACATTAAGGATCTATAAAAATTATGTTTTTCTTAAATTTATGTTTTTAATATCAGGTGATTGTTTTTTTATGATTCTAATTTATTTTCAAGCAAATACACAAAACTCTACACTATTCTACACTATTCTACACTACATAGTACACTATTTGATTTCAATTTTGCTTCTGTAATTTTCAATAGAACACATCTATTTATAAATTTAATTTCAATTAAAATTAAATAAATATAAGAAAATTTTACTTACAAACTTAATTTATTAAAAAATTATCACTTTTTTTGTATTCTGTTTAAAAATTTTCTTTCAAATTTCTTATTTGATCCTTCAAATATTTTTTTTTAAAAAATGAGAAAATTTTTCTTTTTAATCCTTGTGATTCTCTTTTCTTTCTCTTTTTATTTAATTATTAACTTATTACCCGAAATAATATATTTAACTAGTTTTTGATCTTTTTTTTTACTTAATATAGTTCTAATAAAATTCTTCATAAGGGCCGCGAAATTTTCGATTTAATTTGTATATAAAGAAAAAATTTTGAGAGAAAATTGAAATTTTCTTATTACTTTCAAAAGAAAAAAAAATTTTTTTTTTTATTTTATTTTTTCACTTTTTATTTTTAATAATTAATTATAAATTTATTAAGACGCTTTCAAAATTTCTTTTTAATCTTAACGCGTTGACCGTTTACCATTAACTAAAGATTTCCTATTAGTGAAGTGGATTCTTATTATAGAAGGGGTTGATAAATTATCGTACTATTTATATATTACGTATATAAAAGCTATATACTATACGTATGCTTATATGTGTATAACAGTATATAAGTTAATTTTTTTTTATTTTTCTTATTATTGTTGCTGTTCGTTTTTTTTTCTTTTTTTTTTATATTTTTTATCACCTGTTGAATTGCAAATTCAAATTGTAATTTTTTGTTGCTGATATTGTTTTTTTTAATCAGAAGTGTGTTGTAGTTTTGTTATGTTTAATTTTTTCTGTTTTTTTTTATTTCTTGCTTTATCTTGGAAGCTTATTTGAAGCGATAAAAGTTTAAGGTGTTATAGGTACTAAATATTGTATATGTAAATATAATTGCATGTAAATATATTTATAAATTTTTTTTATTAATTTTGTAATAATATAATCGATGGTGATGCAGATAATTTTCATATAGTATAAGAATAATATTAAGTATGTTGATCATATTACATTCTGTTATATATTGATATTTAGAATCTGTTATATTCCTGCTTATAATTTGTTATATTTATTTTATGTCTTTAACAAGCACACAACGGTAATTTATAATTAGAGTAATAATTAAACTAAAAAATTAAAGAATTAATTTTTTTTTGGTTTGCACATCAATTCACTTTTTGTATTTGTTTACATTTGTTGCGGAAGTCTCACTACTTATTCATTTCAAATAAAATTAATAATGTGGTGAAATGAAAATAATTTGACAAGAGATTTGGGGAAAATCTTTTGTTAGGTAGAGTGAATGTTTAAAAATTTTTATAAACTGTGAAACAAAAAAAGAAAAGAAAAACATTTGAAATAGAGAGGGAGAGTGACATAAGAGAGAGTTTCCGAGTTTTGTGACTTGTGAGCAATTTTAGTGAGTCTTTAAATTAAATTTGAATTTGTTTTTATGGTAAGTATGTTACAAATTTATACTTTCGTTTTTGTAATTAAAAAAAAAAACTTCTTTAATTTAAAAAGAAATGATTTTTGGCATAATTTTAAGAATTCAAATTATTATAGCTAATTAATCATTATTGTCAAACTAAGATGAAATGCAAAAGTATTTGATTATCTATATTGGTGTGAAAAAAATGTGACAGTATACGAACTCACGCTCTCTTTATAAGTAAAAATAACACAAATTCTGCAAGCAAAATTTTTATTTCTTCAAATTTCAAATTCAAAAATCGCAACAGAAGCACTTTACTTTTTAGATTAATAGATCATTGTTGCACTTAATGAGTTGGATGCACTGCCTCAATTGTCAGATAAGATTGATATTGAAGGTTACGTGGTTATAAAATAAAAAGCATTTGATTTTAGTTTGTCATTAAAGTTTACAGCCTATAATTAAATTTGTGGCTTAAATTTCTTAAATAAATTCTAAAATAATATTCAATAAATCTTTATTTAGAAAAAAATTAATTATTAAGTTAAAACAGGTAAAAATTGGGATTCACTTATGTATTTGTTTCAATTTATACTTAATTCAGAAAATACTCAGAAATTATATATGTACTGAGTTTCAAGTAATTGTTTTGAAATTTTTTATTATAAATTTAAATTAATCCAAATTTGTTAAATATATTATCGAAATATTTATAATAATTTTATTTTACAATTTCACCATAATTTAAAAGAATCAGGGGATTTTGACAGATAACTCAAAATCGTGATGAAAATTAAGAATATTAAAAATATGTGGTTAAAATAAAGTAAAAATTATACGGAAAAATAGTCATCAATGACAGTCATACACACATACATAAAATAATTTGAAAGTTAAATTATCTTAAAAACAAAATGTACAATAATTGAATTATTAAAATGCTATATGAGTGTTAAATATTTATGTAAAGTAATTTATATGTAGCTACTTAATTTAAATGAAATGATTAAAGAAAATACGATTAACATAATATAGGAAATTCCATTTAAAATTTTTATTGGAAATTTATTTTAAAGTTGAAAAAATTTTATTATTTTTTCTTTTTTGATTTTGGAATTGACGTCAGTAAATAAAAGGTATAGTATCTATAGAATTTTATAAAGGTAAGTATAGAAAAAAATTTTTGAGCTACGTAAGAAGTAAAATTTGATTTCCATATTCTTATAAATTTTAATTATGTTTAATAATTGGTTAAAAAATCTCTGTTAATAAATAAAATTCCAATTTTATAATGGTGATTCCAAATAATTAATGATAATTTAGAAAATTGCCTACGCAACAGAATAATATTTTAAATATTTTATCAGAAAATAAAATAAAATAAAAAAATTTACCATTCACGCTTGGTTTTTATCGCACTTCAGTGTAGTTGGTGATTTTTTTTTTGTAGTATTGTATTGATACGATTTGACAGTATATAGTGTGGTTTATTGCAGTATCAGCAAAATAATTGTTTAGAGTGTGCGAAGAATTTATTGTTTTTTTTCTGTAAATCGGTTTAATTTAATTGTGTTTTAATTTCAGTAATATTTTTATATATATATATATATATATATATATACATATATTGTTAAATTATATTAAAAGCTATGCTATGCCTCCCGAAAATTGTTTAAATTATATGAAGGTACTTATGTTTAAATAATTTGAATGTGAAAATTTGTAGTGCATTACGTTAGTTATAATTAAAATCAAGTAAGAAGACTGAATGTCATATGGGCAAAAAAATCAAGATTTTGAATATTTAACATAATGTCAATTGTTAATTTAAGAAGCAGTGAAGAAAATATGGAATATTGTGTGCAATATGCAAATGAAGCTTGTGCTACAAATAATCAGTGTTCTGCTGCAAAAGTATGTTCAGATCATTTTGTTGAATTTGGTTTTTGTTAAGAAGATAATTTATTAAGCACATCAAAATCAAAACATTAAAAGGACGAAACTATACCAAGCCGAAATATTTTAGATTTTGGATAATAGAAAATATGGATAAAAGGATGAAAATATGGATAATAGAATGAATAGGGAAAATATGGATAATAGAATGAATAGGAAAAACAAGAAGAAAAGTTATTTTTTTCTCAGTTTATTTCTTCTTTTTAGATGAAAATACTAAGGATAGAGAAATAGTGAAAGAAAAAAGGAAGTCGAGTAACACTCAATCAAAATTAAAAATGTTATAATTGAGAAGTAATATAATATGTTCCCATATTCAGCTGGAACAAAATCTTACACGGTACCATCAGTAATGGCCAACTATGAAATTTCCAATGAAACCGGGTATAATATGCAGCGTATTAAATTTATTGAAAAAAATTCAAGCAACTGCATTAAAGAGGAAAAATTATGTATCTTATCATTTTATGAAATGATGATAAAATTTATATGAGATATAAAAAAGAATAAGATAATGCCAAGATGATGAAAAAAAAATAAAAAAAAAATGAGAAAAAATAGAGTTGACCGTGTCAACTCTGTGATACCCGTACGAATTTGTTATCCTATGTACGAATATATTTAAATAGCGTTCTAGCATTTATTATAATAAATCATTTGTGAAAATTTGGTGAACTTAGCTAACTTAGTTTTTGAGTTATCGTTGGGAAGAATGGACGGACAGACAAAGCTAAATCGACTCAGAATTCGACGCTGATCAAAAACATACACTTGAGTCTATATCTCAGACGATTATTTCTTAGCGTTACAAACGGTAAGGCAAATTTAGTATACCCTTCGAAATTTAGTACTATACGTTTGTAAGAGTATAAAAATTAAATAAAATAATAACATAGAATTACAATATTTTTGTTAGTCTTCTTTTCCATATTTAGTACTACTTTCATATATTTTTTTCATTTTGGTGTCCTATGATGTCACAAATAACTGTGAATAATTTTGTATACTGCCTTTTTTTTGTATGCTGTGTGATCTAATTTAAGTTATCATCATAAATACCTTCGTATACTTACATATACCAAGCCAAATGTTGTTTATCAACTGTTTTTTTACAATGTTATTTTTATTAATATATAAAAAATGACATTATTTCTGTCACATCAATTAAAAAAACAAATTAGACGGCGTCAAAACATTGGAATATTTTTAAATTTAAGGTAATTATTTTTAAATTTCATAATAAAAACTAAAATATGTACTTAATTTTATTATTTTTATTTCCAAGTTCAATGAATTTTGATAGTTAAAGTTCCACATTGATTCTAGTAAATTGAAGATTTCCAAAAATGTTTTTTTGTTTTTCGGCTGTTTTGGGAAGTAATAAAGTATAAGATATCTTATATGAAATCATATAAACTTAATCTAAATTTCTGATAAGAGAGAACATATTTAATATAATTAGAGTTAGTGACGAAATTTATACTGTTTTTAATTTTAATTTAAACTAAGCAATTATATTTTAATATTTCATCAGAGTTATGTACATAACAGTGAAGCTATTATTACTTTTGTATAGTGAATATAATATAATAATAAAATAATTAATAAATTTTTTTTAGGTAGATTACAATTGATTGTTTTTTCTACCTATTTCAATTAATCGGGTTTAACCTTATTTCTAAGAATATTTTTATGTAGTTTTGGATTTTCAAGTGAAATTTTCAATGGAAAAATTTTTGATCGTGCATTACTAATTTAGTAATATTTTTAATTGATATTGAAATATTTTTTAAATTTTAATTAATAGTTTTGTGGCCGGCCTTGCACCGCTTATAAAAAAATTAAAACTAATGGTATATTGTGTCTTGTTACATGTTCATTCTTCTACTACTAGAACAAGAATGGCTTATTTTCTAAAATGTTAAAACTACTATTAGAATATAATATCAAAGTAATAATTGTAAATTCTAAGTTAAATTCTAAGTAAATCATTTATCTATAAATAATTAAAGATAAACTTACGATATTTCAATAGAATTGTGATCTACGAATTTAGAATAGGAAAATTTATATCTTGCAAAATACATGAATTTAAAAATAGTATAAAGACTTTCCTAAATAAGACTACAGTTATAACAGAATAAAATTTTGAAAAATATTCTAAACTTACCCTTGTTGTATAATAACTATAATTTGTATTCTTTGAATCGTGTTTTACCTGTAAATGGGATATACACCAATTTCAACAAATTGTAGGTTGTATACAAAATTTTAAATAACAATAGCCATACAAATATTACTTCTATTGTGAGATTCAATCATGAGTTCAACATTCGATTTAGAAATAATTTACGTATTGGGAGGAGTTGCACTTTATTAACTTCTCAGAGAATTGTTGTTTTTATAATTAATCAGCTACTTGAAAACATAAAATATTTACCTAATGTAAAAAACTTTAAGAAGATTAAACAATTCTTGCTATTGCCGAATTACTTGAACCAGTTTATATAATTAAAGCCAAAACTATACTTAAAATTGCAAGCAAATATATATATAATAAAATTGTAAATACTAATTTATAAAAACAAGTGTTAATTGAATATTTTATGAAAAAAATTATTTGTAATATAAACTTTAAGTATAATGCCAGAAATTTAAGTTTCTATAATGCCAAATAATGGGCGCAGAAATGAAACTTTATAATTTCTTTTAAATGAAATTAATAATAAAAAACGTATTTATAATTAATTCACCACCTGTAGTAAATTGAGAGCGAAATTAACAACAATTGCTCCCTAACTAACTATTGATATTTATTTATTGTACAAAATCTAATTCATAAAAAATGTCGGAATCTTTAATTCATAATAAATAATATGAAAATTAAAATTAAAACAGTAACAGTAATACAAAGATAACACCAATATAACAATATTGCTGGACACGAAAAAAGTGCTAAACGTGCTTTTAAAATGCAAATCTACTTTCTTGCATTTTAATTTAGTGAAAAATATCTAATAGTTTTTAAAAAATTGTTTTCAATTCATTTCAATTAAGATTTTTATTTCATTTACTCAAATGAAACTATTATAATAATTAAAATTTCTGTAATAATTGTTATTATTTGAATATTACAAAAAAAAATATTTTTTTTTAAAAACTACATAATTGCAATTTTTTATTGTTGTGATCTATTGATTGAGTTTCCAATATGAGTCACATTATTAGTAGATTAATGGAAAATAAAATGAAATTTTAATGAGAAAACAATGGTAAATTTAAGCTTTTATTTAAAAATAAATGGCAGTATTTAAGGGGTTAGATTGATAGACTATTTACGATTTAATTTTTAATATATAATTAGCTTTTCATGTTATTAGACTAAGTTAAGTAACGCGTGTAATTTTTTTTTTAAATATTAAAGCTCTTTTCTAATGGAAAATATTAAAAATTCAATCCTTAATTAAAATATGTATATTTTAAGTTATGGGAAATTCTTGTTATATTTTTCATTTACACAAAAAAATTAATTTTCCATTCCAAGATCGATTTACATAAACTTACGTAAAATCTGCAAGAGACGCCTAATATGTCTAAATTTAAATAAAATATTTCTTAATAAAACATTTTATTTGCCAGAAGAAAATACTCTACCATAAATCTAATAGTTTAGTTTAATAAATAATTCAAAATTTTTTTGAAACGTCGTCCGATCTTCATTTTACACACAGGAAAAAACTTCTAAGACTAAAAAGTTATAAACGTGTAAACACAGAAAATAAAGTAAACAATGTTGTATAGCAATAATTTTTATTTATATACGAATTTAGTGTTATTTATAGGCTGCACAAAACCGAAACCACATATTTTTGGAACAATACACAAAAGTTTTAAAAATATTCACAATTTAGATTATGATTAGCCAAATTATATAAGGCCCACATTCATGAATTTATTGGAAAAAGACACCTCAAATATATTTTTAAATTTTATTCTACATAGCTAGGTAATTTCTAAGAAATTAATATTAATAAAATACAAATTAAATTGAAATTTAAAAAATTTATTAAAACAAAAAGTTCATTTTTGATAATTTGCTAGGAAAAACAACAAAAAATCAATTTGATTATATTTTGGAATTTGATAAAGTCTGGCAGTTATACGAGTGTATATTATAAGTTCATTAGTTTAATTAATATTTTTTTTATTAATAAATTGATAATATAATTTTGTTATGAAAAAGTTTGTTGAATATAATATTGAAGTATCGCTAATTTGTAATTGTTATATTATATTAGTGTGTAGATCAATGAATATTACAATGAAATTTTATAAAAAAATTCGAATTATACCGATAGCAATCCACTCAAGTGGATACGTCAAAGGATGCGTTACTAGTACTACTATTTTAACACAGGATGCGAAATATTGTTTGTATAACAATTTGAAGTGTTATATATTTATATTTATAATATGTGCAGCTTGATTTCTAATAAATAAAATTATAATTTTATTGAAATGGAAGCATATACATGCAATAATTAATTATATAAAAATAATAATTAAAAACTATTACCTAATATAACAATTCATAAATATTGTATAACAGTTTAATATATAATAATCAATTAATAAATATAAAATTCAATTTTGATTAACAACAACTATAAATTGATGGTTTTTTCTAGTTTTTTTTTCTGTATTCTTTGAAACACGCGACTATTTATAATCAGTATTTAGTATACTAAAAACTGTTATTAAAAATAAAATTAGAGCTATATAGGCAGTTTAACACGTTCCCATATCAATTTTTGATAAGAATATTAAAATTATTATATAGTTGATAAGAATTTGGTATTTTTTTGTAATTTTAATATTTATTTATTCGATGTAGCAATATGATCATCATTTCAAAAGAAAATAGTAAATCTTAATTACGTAATTAATTTAATTATTAATTAAAATCATTACAAAATTATTACACTCTGGACAAGCTAGTATTAAGGGTTAGTTAATATAGCGAAGTTTGCGATTTCGGAGTGGTTAAAATAGATCAATGTAATTAATTGAAATAAATAAAAGGTCTATTTTAAATATTATTTTCTATTACACAAAAATTAAAAATATTTTTTTAATAAATATTATTGTTAAACAAATTTTTTTTCTATATTAGCAAGGTAAGAATGCAATATGAAAGACGGTTTTTAAAAATTTGAGTAAAAATTGAAATCGTCTTAAGTCTTGAGACAGAAAATTTTGTCTAAGATGAAAAAAACGATCTTTTGTGTTTGAATTAATATCGTAAATTATCGTAATAAACCATTTAAAAGTAACGAAATTAAACTTTTATAAGTGATTAATAGCGACATCTATGTTTTGATAGAAAAAAGTAATATAGTATTGAAATTGACAATTAAAAGTTGTTAAACCATAATAATTTGAAAATTTATTGTTAAAAATTTATAAATGATTGATTTGTTTAATTTATAATATAAAACAAAATTTAATAATTTCGGGAGAACGTTTTTCCTATAAATCAAACGAAAGTTTAGCCCAATAAAGTTCAAAGTCAAATTTAAAGTAGATTTCTCTCAAATAACTAGTTGTCGACAACTCTTAACTATAGATATTATAACATAAATTTTAAATCTTCCCAAGGAATGTGAAAAGAATTTAAAATTATAAATTGGAAGGGCGATTAAAATTAAATTATTTCATCAAATATGCTTCAATTTTTGTTGAAGTTTTGAAATAATTGTTACTGTTTATTTAAAAACTGTTGTATTATCATGCATTACACATTTGAGTCTACATAATTAATATCTTAATCTTAAAAGATTCTAAAAAATATATTAATCACTTAAAATCCTTATCATAAAATCCTTATATAGATACAACTACATAAATCTTAAAAAATAATTTCATTTTCTTTATTTTCTAGTGAATAATGAAAAATTATTAATGAGAAAATTCTTAGTCTAAAATTTTCATATTATTTACGTATAAAACTTACTGCCGTTGTGCACAGCAACTATGTGGTTATATTTTGTTTTGATATAAACAATGTTCATAATTACCATTATGATATTAGTATATTAATGATGAACATTTTAATATACTTTGATTTTCTTTTCCAATCACTCGTAAATTAAATAAATTAAATTTCAAGTGATTTTTCTTAAACTAGACTAGAGTATATAACACAATATATTCGTCCATATAACACAACAAAATTTTAAACAAAACGAGAGATTTTTCCATATTTTCAGTCTTTAAAATTAGAAAGTCACAAAACAGTAAAGCTTTTAATTTCCTACATTTGATTTGTTCGTATATGAAGCTTTTAAAACTCTACAATTCTGCTAAAATATCGAAAATTCATAAGTTTTCATAAACTATATTATAACTGTATTATAAACTTGAATTTAAATTCTAATACTTATGCTCTTATTACAACTATAATTAAAAATTCTATTCTATGTAACAATAAACATTATTCCAAAAGTATACGTGAATAATTGATGCCATATCATATGATCTTCTAGCTTATTTCACTCATATATGAAAGTATGATTTGGATTTTATATTTTTTTTTATTATTTTTATTGAAAAATAAATAGTTTTATCTAACATTTTTTTTTATAATATTCTAAATAATTCTTATCTTGTAAACCATAACTATAATACACATGTGAAATTCAATGTCTTATTTACATAGAGAACAACTCATCTTATTAGCACAAGTGTAATTATTATAAGAAAACAAAAAATAATTATTTCTCTAAACTATAAAAATATTATATTTAAATTTCATTGAGTTATTTTAAAATTTTTCTAAATCATTCGAATAGATTTTGTAGTTCTAATAAGTGCAAATTAAATTTAGAGAGCAATAATAAATTTTTTCTTTTGCTTTTATTGAAAATTGAGCTTTAGCTTGTGTGCATCGTAGAAATTATTTTTTAACACAATTCTATTTAAATTTATATGCAATTAGAGCCGTGAATATTAAATTAGAAATTACGATATAAGATTACAAGAAATTTATTGATTCAAAAATGCTTAATGGTAAGTTTTTGCATTACAATATTAAATTGAAACAGAGATGAGTTGTCTATGGTGTTAAAATAATTTAAAATAAATGTGGTCAGAAAATTTTGTATAAAAATGAATTCTATTTGTAAGACTATTTAAAATTCATAATAATTTCATTTATTACTTATTTTCAATATTAATAATATTAAAAATTTAAAAAATTTTAGTACATAATTGGATTGGAACATCATCATATTCAGAAGTTCCTTCGGATGCTGTTTTAGCTGGTTCAGATTCTGATGGTGATCCAATATATGTTGGTCGGGCACGTCATGCAGATGATTTATTACCAGCTAAAGTAATACCAAATAAAAGGAAAGCTTACGTTTCATATGATGGTGAAGAATTAGAAAAATATGAATATGAAATATTATGTGGTGATTTATATCAATGGCAATCAGATTCTGGAGGACATATTCCACCGCATGCTATGGTAATTTTATAAAAATATAATAATGTCCTAAAAAGAAAGTAAATACTTATAAATATATTATATTTTTTTTAGTCATCTGGTATAACATCATCCGGTGAATTATTATATATTGGACGTGGTGAATTTGCTGGTAGTATGACACCTGGTAAAATACATCCATCACATGGTTGCCTTTATATACCATATGGTGGTGGTGAACATCGTATTGATAATTATGAAGTATTAGTTTTACCAGAAATTTGGTTACCAGCTGATAGTAATAATATTCCACCACATGCTGTACTTGCTGGTACTGATACTGATGGTGATACTATTTATGTTGGTCGTGCTGAACATAATGGTGATTTAATACCAGCTAAAGTTATTATTAATAAAAATTGTGCATATATTTGTCATTCTGGTCATGAGCATATTAAACATACATTTGAAGTACTTGTTGGCTATGGTTATGGTTGGATACCAGCTAATGATGGAAATGTACCACCAAATACAGTTGAAGGTGGTAAAACAATTGATGATGAAACATTATATATTGGTAGAGGTGAATTTAGGGGTAGTGTTACACCAGGAAAAATTCATCCTTCACATGGTTGCCTTTATATACCATATGGTGGGCAAGAAATTAAATTACAAAATTATGAAGCATTAGTTCGAACATATTATTAATTTGTTTTATTCTATAATAATAATAATATATTGAGAATAATATTATAAATTTATGATTTTGTTTTAAATAATGTAAAATGAATTTTGTTTAATGAAAAAAATTCGCAATAATGTTATTTATGATTGATTCCGTATAGAGTATTTATAACGTCTTAGCGACATCTAGTTTTCAAAAGAAAAAAACTTTTGTAATTAAAGAGCTTTTGAAAATTTAGAGGCTACCAATTTTTTTGAAAGCTTTGCAGTTTCAAATTATGTACAAAGTACCGTTAAAAAACAAGTTTTTGAATCATTTTAAAAGTAAAGTCGCGAAGCTTTTAATGTTTTCATAACAATTTTTAAATTGGTTTGTTAAATATTTTTTGAAAAATAACATTGTTTTTGAATTCAAGCAAATCCTAGCTGAAATTTTTAAATAATTGAGTGAGGAATTGCAGAATACTATGAAAATTAAAATATCCTAGTAATCATCTTAGAATTAACAGCAAACTAATCCTTTTTAATATATATGGAACCGAGAAAGTGCTTCGTAAGTCAACTCCATTTCTCTCTCCATTTCTCTCCATTTCTCTCTCCTGAGTCGGCATTGTAACCTAAAAAATAAAATAAATTAACTATTAAAATTTCTGTTTAAAAATTTATTTTGACAAACAATAGCTACTCGTATTTATTGGAAAAGTAATTGCTGACTAATTATTGATTTTTGAATTTGATTTATGTTTGATCTAATGTAAATAGCTCAATGTATGTGTTCATTATTTGTTTACCAGTTAAGTAACTCAAGTGGAGAGATTAACATAAAGTGTGATACATGTTTTAGTAGATATGCTTATCTAGGAGAATGTGTAATGTTGAAGTCAATTTAAGTTTACAAAATTTAATTTATTATTTATATTACTTTGTATATAAAGCATTTTATGAACATACTTACACTATATATTGACTAAATTCATATCATAATGTGCAATCTGTATTACAGTTCTTATGAAAAATTATATTTGATAAGATTAAAAAAAAAATGAATGCAAAAATTTTTTAGATTTTTATTGGAAAATGAACTGAAAACTTTTAATTGTCTCGCCATTGTGAATTTTAATGAAATCGAATAAGAAGAAAATTCACAATCGAACAATCATGATAATTTAAAGTTTGGTTTTATTTAAATAATTGTTTTTTATTTTAGGTCTTGGAAATTTAATAATTTTTCATCAGAACCAAATATATTTGGGATAGAAGTTGAAAAATTAAAGCCGAAATTTTAATCAGAACTTGTTGAGTACTCATACATGAAATTTTACGATCTTTAATGAAATTAAATAACAAATGCATACAATGTACCGTTGCTCTCTCTGCGTATGTACAAAGCCTATTACAAAGCGCGACGTTGCCAAATGAAATTAATCTTTCATCCTTTACTCAAGAATTGTTTAACAGTTTAGGAAATTTTTGAATTCTATTTGGCGTATTTTTGCATTTCGCAGTTCTTAAAATATTTTATTAAATTTTACCTTGAAATGTATTAATTTTACTGATCTGTTTACAAATCTGAGTGGATTTTATTTAACTTTATACTTTATAGCAATATTGAAGAATTTATTGAGATTTAGGTCAAAAACATAAAATTTTAAAAAATTTCATTAATGGCAATTAAATTTTAGATATAAAAAAATGCATACTATACGTACATATTGTATACTTTTATGTCATATAAATTTTTTTTTTATCATTAACTGCGCGATAAGAAAATAAAATTAACTCTTATTTAAGTCAATAACATTTAAAAACAATTTAGTCGTTTAAATTATATTCGACAGGTAATAATATATACTGAAGAACGCCATCGGTATAATAAATATTGATATAATTTAATTTATTTAATATTTTTCAATTGAATTTTGTGAAAGAGAAAAAAATTTGAATAAAATGCTTAGCTGTAAGTAGTGTTTTCAATTAATTAATTGAGTTTAAATATTTTATTATTTATTTCGATAAATTTATAAAAAAGAAGAATTATTAAATATCTATAAGGTAAACAGGGCTAATATTGACATGTTCGGCGTCATACGTGACATCTAAAAAGTGCGCCGGCCGCTGTCAAAACAATGAATATTGCACATATTGCATTAAAATTGCATCCCTGTTTTTAGGCGCTTGTTGCATTTGATTATTTTGCATATATGTTATATACGGCGCATAAGAGTAACGCGTATTAAATATAGAGTAACGCGTCTACATAATTTTGCTATACAATTTTTCGGCGTAATATTTGTTATAATTTATTATTTATAGTGCATCCAATTAATTTTTAAACATAATAGAAAATTAAAATTAGAAAAATATAAAATAGAGCGAGAATATCCGGCTGAAATATTTAAATTAAAAAAATAATCCAGATTTATGTGAATGAACCGAGCTCTTTACGTTATCATGTTTACCGGTTACGTACACTTATACCGGTAGATGGCTTTTTTTTATGTAAAATGAACTTCAAATTGTTAATATTTAAATTTATATAATAGTTTTTAGTTTTATATGACAGAAACACCGGTCCATTCCAAATTACTCACAGGTCACTCCGACTTTATTAAGAATTCAATACGCTCTAAGATAAAACACAAGCATTTTGAAAGGTATTCTATTGATTACGATCCGTGTAGTCAAAATGTGTATAAAAATTTTGTGTATAAGCTATTGATGAGACAGATTCTTAGCGGTACAGTCAGAAAAGAAGAATCCATTTTAATTTTGCTGGGGGAAAAATACACGTAATCAGTCAAAATAAAATTTTATTTTTAAAAAATATGTTATATAAGTACACAATTTGAAAAATAACTGATAAAAATTAGTAATTAAACACTCACCATATATGCGCTCATATACTTTTATTTATTTATGAATCGATATTGGAAATGAAGAGTTAAGATAAGATATTGCATATCTATGAGAACAGGGTATAGACATGTTACTAAATGGAAATATATATATATTTTTTATTTTTATAACAAATGATTTTCAAGTGGATTTACTCATCGTTTTATTCCAAATTCAATAAAAAATTGGGTGGATTACCTAAGAATTCACAGGTTCATTTGAGAAAGTTATTAAGGTGTGGTTAAATTATAATGTATTTTTTTACGATATTTACATATCTACCATAGTGAACTCAATTTCTTAATATCTAAAATTAGAAATTTCATATCTCAAATAAAATTAATTATTAAAAATTAAACTTATAGCACACAATTGGGTTAGTTCTTCAAAATTTGAAGGTGTACCACCAGAAGCTGTTTTAGCTGGACATGATTCAGATGGTGATGCTATTTATGCAGGACGTGCTCATCATGAAAATGATTTATTACCAGCAAAAATTGTACCAAATAAACATAAAGCTTATGTAGCATATGGTGGAGAAGAACATGAAAAATCTTATTATGAGATTCTTTGTGGTGATTTATATCAATGGGTTCCAGCACATGGTGGACATGTTCCTGCAAATGCAATGGTATTAACACTATATTATAAAAATGAAATTTATTTACATATAATTTTTATAAAAATTATATGATAGGCTACTGGTGTTACCGCTGATGGTGAAACTTTATATATTGGCCGTGGTGAATATGCTGGTAGTGTAACACCTGGAAAAGTTCATCCATCACATGGTTGCCTTTATATACCATATGGTGGCAGAGAACATCGTTTAGATTCATATGAAGTTTTAACATTACCAGAAGTATGGTTACCAGCTCATGGACGTAGTGTACCACCACATGCTGTATTTGCTGGTGTCGATTCTGATGGTGATCATATATTTGTTGGTAAAGCTTATCATGATGGTGATTTATTACCAGCTAAAGTTATTATTAATAAAAATTGTGCTTATGTTTGTCATGGTGGACGTGAACATGTTAAACATGAATTCGAAGTACTTGTTGGATATGGTTATGGATGGGAACCAGCCGGTCATGGTTCTGTTGCACCAAATTCTGTTGAAGGTGGTAGAACAGATAGTGGTGAAACTTTATATATTGGACGTGGTAATTTTGAAGGTAGTTTAACACCAGGAAAAATTCATCCTTCACATGGTTGTCTATATATACCATATGGTGGACAAGAAATTCGTTTAGAAGATTATGAATGTTTAGTAAGAAAATATTATTAAGCGGGAATAAAAAATCAAAACGAAAAAAATTAAATTTGAAAATGAATCGAAATAAAAATTAAAATCAAAATAAAATTTTATTTAATATTTGTTTAAGATTTTCGTTTGCAAGATTTTACAATCTTTTACAATGCCTTCAAATTCGCTTTAAATATTGATAGAAGTAATTTTGTCACAGTATTCGAAGCTTAGGCTTTGAAAGAGTAAAGCATAACCTTTATCAATATGCTCAACGACTTAAGAATTATAGCTTAATTTATAAAGCAACTATCGATAATAATTCTGTATAACAGTTATTAATTTCGTAACAAAGTTCATTTAAAAGCAAAAACGATAAGATTATAATTTGAGACTAAATTTTGTAAACCGGTTTTACAGATAAATTGCTGATAATTTTTTTAATATTACAAATTATTATTTCTTTTTTTTTGAAATTTTGCATGAGTATTATGTCATACTATACAGTTTAAGTTCAAACAAATTAAACAGCTTACGTTCAGCAATTTACTAGTGCAGATGTCTTTTGAAATTATATTTTTTCAAAACTGTTTTTCATTAATTATAACTGTTGTTCGTCAATTTCGAAAAATTAGTATATATAGCAAAATGGGGGTGCTATATACAATATAGCCCCCTTTTCAAGTCAATCTACTGTTTACATTAACACTGAGAAAATTTGCTTTCAATAGTATCGAAAAGGCTTTAGATAATTTGTAAAATCATTTGAATTGCTTATTTATTAAGAAGGTTCAATGAACTCTTAAATTACACGCTTTTGCCAAATATGTAAAATTATAAGATATACATACATATATATATAATATATACAAGCATATAGGAAGTGAAATTTTTGTATGTGTATGTGTTGTATTCCTGATATACCTATATAAATGTTGACATAAATGTTGACATATTAAAATTATAAAAAGATTTTAGTTTGGAAAAATCGCACACTATAAATATTACCAATTCACAATAAAAATTTTGTGAATCCTGTCCTAAAAGTATGCAATTTTATCAAAATTTAATATTACATCCGTAGATTAAATTTTCGATGAAAAAAATTAAAAAAAAAATTTTTTTTTTTAATTTTCAAGTTGATTCCAAGATTTGAGTCTTTATAACATGGTTATGTTTAACGTTTACGGCCTTGTTTAATGTAGTAACTGATGTGCAAAAACCAATATGCAAAAACACCGTGTTTTTCGATTTGGAAAAAGCATTTACTTTTATACATAGAAAAATATAGCTCATACTGATTGTTCCAGTGTGGTATGACGTGGAAAGTTCAGGATTGGTTGTTGCATTGGACTACGAAAACAATATTCTGACTGCTCAGGAATTATAAGTAAAAAAAGCAAGAAGTAAATTACGGTGTTATATTATTTAGGGAGTTCTTTCTGTTCTTCATTATTCTCTTGCTATGCGAGCTATTTAAGCAACGTAAAATTGAATAGAACAACATATATGTTTGCGGGTGAAAAGGTTTGGAAAAAGTTTTCACTGTAAATCTCTACAAATGTGCTACATGCCTTTTTAAATCATGAGAGGTAGGTTTAAAAGTACTATTCTTGCGATTTTCACGAGGTCAAATTCTGGTGTGCTATAATGTAGTGAATTATTAGAACAAACAAAAAGAGCGCTTTTTCTCGACGAAATATCAGAATTCATATAGAATGCAAATATTTAAATGGAACTGCGCGAAATCGAGCGAAATTGCCGCCGAAAATTTCACTGCCGGCGGTAAAATAGTCTGAATTCCTGTTTATTACTGGCAGTTTTTTTTTGACATTCTATTTTTGATTTGTGTCAAAAAAAGATTTGAATGTACCGTTGATTTTGTCGTTCCGCTTTTGTTCTGGGTTGACAACGAAAATCGCCCATCGTTGACATTCACCGCTTTGGTTTCGTTTTTACAGTTAGTGAGTAGTGAATTAAAACAAAAAAGAAATTTAATCTTCATCTTAAATCATTTTTTTTTGCTATATTAATAAATCAGTTCTTGTTAATTATTTCTAGTTAAAGAGAAAAAAAATGGTTATTGTTACTAAATTCAAATAAATCTTTATCATAATTGTTGTTGAATTTAAATTGCATTGTTTTTAATCTTAATATTGCAAACTATTATAAAAGTACTATTGTGTTATACTAGTACTATTCTTTGTCAAATTTATTTTGAACGTTGTAAAACTTATTATACACTCTTTATGAGCTAACAGGTCTTCTTCAAATGAATAGATTAAAATCACACTTATCTAAATTTTAAATTTTAAATACTTATATTCTAACTAAAATTTCATAATTTTCAAAATTTAATATTTTTCCTTTAAATGAAATAAATATACAATATTTTGATGGTATTATTTTACCAAGTATTAAAGATTTTTCTAATTTAACTCTACCAATATAAATTTTCTCATTGGTATTAGTAAAACCACCTAAAACAGCATTACTTGGAATAAAACCATTATTTGTAAAATCCCAACGATATTTTGATGTTATTGAAACTTCAAATAGTGTTTTATTTTGTTCACTAGTCATATTGTAACTGCTATTTTGAATACAATGTTCATTATGTAAAAAACTAATATTTGTTATCTAAAAGTAGAAACAATTCCTAATTAAATAAATAAATTATTAAAGAGTAAATAACTTACCAATGAACCAATAATATGTGTTGAACGTCTTACACTTTCTTTTTCATCAAATTCTCCGCATAAAATATCACAGCAACATTTCTCATACTCCAAACCGTTTGATATTACAAAAGCTTTACCTTTTCTATTTTTATTATTTATTATTATTTTTGCTGGTAAAAGTTCATCGGCATGATATGCTCGACCAACATATATTGCATTACCGTTATGATCATTACCGGCTAAAACAGCTTCTAATGGTATCTCATCTTGGCATAAACTTATACGTATCCATCGTTCAAGTTCAGCTAAAATAATTAATTATTTAATAAATATTTACGAAATTTATTAACAAAAAATATTTATTTACACATTATTGTAGCTGTTGCAAAAAATTCTTGTTCGATTACAATAAAATATCGACAACTTAACTCTAGTTTAACATCAAGTCTACTGAAAGAAAAATTAAAAAATCAGTATTGTATTTAAGATATTTGCAAATGTGTATGTATACGTATAAGTAGGCGAATTAGTACATATATTTCTGTGATTGTTCACGAATTAAAAAGGGTAATCACGTACAATCATGTCTTATATTAGAATAAATTCGTATGTTTGTACATAAGAATGTAATAAGCATTATTTAAAAGTGGGTATTCTACTTAACATTCGGGTATCTTTTTTTTCGGTTTGGTATATTTTCAAAATGCGGCAAAAGAGAAAGTTGTTCAGTTGGCCGCCGGCAAATGCGGTAATAATTTATTACGTGATGCTTCGTTCGCTTATAGAAGTGAAATAAAAGGCATCTTTAACAAGCATATAAGGAGAAGAGCGCAAATGTGCCAGATGCTCAAAGTAAAATCTTAGTGTTGATGCTCAGTACTTTGACGTAAAACTATTTTGTGTTTGATATCGGACATTTACCGTGATTATAGATTATCCCCCGTCATTGGACGCATGTATTTCGGGGCTGCGAAGACCTTCCTAAATGGAAGATAAACAAATTAACTTTTGAAGTTTTGAAAAGCTTTTAGAGAAGTACGTGAGAGAAATCTACTGGATTTCATGATTCGTGTTGCATAATTCTAGGGATCGTAATATTCCTCTCAGTGGTGTAAAGCTAGGTGCTTGCGTAGAATAACACTTTCGCTCTTATTGCTTCTGCTACTATTCAATTATATATTTCAAACTGTCAAAGTTAAATAATTAAACTTTGTTGCATGAGAATCTCATATTGTACGACCAGTAAATGATAAGATACAATACATTAAAGTACAATAGAAATCGACGCGTGTTTTTTGGGACAATAACAAGAATTTGTAGGATTATATTATTCATTAATATTTCATTGTTATTTAGTATTGTAAACGTATAACAGAAATTATAATAATATCAAATTTATGATGAAAATTTAAAAGCAATATATAAAACGAAATAAAAGTTAACCATATTTGACACTTGCCATTATAGCGTCATACACAAAGCTCTATGGTTATTTCGTACATTCATTTTGTACATATAACACACTATAATATATTAAGTATATACCACACATTTATATATATTTACTTATCACTATAATTATTAAAATACAGTAAAAAAACTTTTAACACTTTTAAGGAGGGAATTTTTGTGTTTAATTTCTTTTAATTTTGTGGGTTTCATAAAGTGCAAATTTTGAAAAATCATAATTGATTTGCGTATATTTTGCTTATAAAGTGCGATTTTCGCTATGTGCTTATGTAGGTATGTATGTCTACATATCTACATTAGAAATTGAGGGACTTTTCCGGAATGCTTTACAAAAAATAATTTAAATAAGTAATTTTATTTGAACAATTTCAACTATACTGTTATAAGATGCCTATCTGTTATATTTCGAAATCATAGAAAAGAATTTTGATTTTTATTTTTTAGTAATGATTCATCACACATCTCAGTGTACATACTATGATTTTTTATGGAATTCCCAACGTTTTTTGTTAACCACTGATATTAAAAATTTTTGTATGAAAGCCAGCGTTTCAGTAGTTTTATTTTTTATAAGAACGTAAAGTGAGATAAAAGAATAAATGCTTTTTAAAGTTTTAATTTGTGTAGCTAACACACAAACTCTTATATATGCTTATTAACTCTTATATTTTAATAAATGATTTTATTTAAAATATTATTTGTTTATTTGATATGTGGTGAATGCACATTTAATTAAGATATTCTTAAAAATCAATGGAATTTCCAGGTTTTTGTTTTGAATAATGTTTAAATAACATGTGGAGATAAATTTGTTTTGAAATTAAAGTTATATATGTTAGTAAAAATGTAAGATAAAATTTACAATAAAAGCTAACAAGGAGATAACATATGAACGCAAATTCTTGAATCTGCACTTACACTACACAATGTTACTTTATGTATAGTAACTACCATTGTAGTG